TGACACCATTTCCACATTGAGTGGCCACGTTGTAGCATGAAGTGGTCGAACGCTGTCAGAGTAGGTCTTTCGCCAAAGAAGTCCCGAGTTACCCTGATTGAGAGATAATAATCCAAGACATAGCTGCATCAACCGTTTCTATCTTACACACTGGCTTGTTGTGGGCCCTTCCCCAAATTGCCCAAATTTTGTAGTTTCTGTCAGCCTTTTTGCTGCAGTGTGCTATCTTTCCTTGTCTAGGGAAGAGGTCCGCTTCGTCGTAGGTTACAGTGTGTCTTCACTGAATGACTTTCCACCAGCGCGCACCTCCTGTGTGCTAAGATAAGTGTAGTCGCAATGATCTAAAGGAAAGCTGTGTACGCTGTGGCCAGCGTCGCGCGACGAATCCAACAAAACCGTGAACTCGCTGCTAATTTGCCGATGAATGGTAAAAAACTACGCTATGCGGAGGGCGGAGTGTTGGGAGTGGGGGGGGGGGGGGGAGGGAGGCGAGCAGTACCAGAAAGTGGACGGCTAGGAGCGCTGGAGCATTGAAGCGAACCATATTTAGGAACAAGGGAATATTTCCAGGAAAAATCAGCCTTGCTTCACTGAGAATATTTGTTGGAATCTTGACATAGCTTGGCGAAGCGTCACCAAGTTACCTGCCACTTCTTTTGTTTGTGTCGCCCCCCTCCCCTATGATATCACTTTACACCGTAGAAAGTCATTCCGTTCCATCGACCTGTCACATGCTATCACCGTCGTTGTTCATCGAACAGCTCATGCGCACTGTTTGGAGGCAGGGAACATCATGGAGCAGGCACCTTCGATCGCGCTATCAGACAAATAGTAATTTTGCCGCGCCGCCAACCAGCCACCGACTAGGAAGGAGGGAATATAGCGCGTTGGAATCGGTGTAGAGTACGACGCCCTCTTCCGGCCACCAAATACGACTCCTTTTGAGGTTTACACAACGTTGATGTGCCCTGCTTAGGAGATATGCGTAGGGATCGATTCGGCCATGCAAGTTCGATAATCAGCATGCGGTCATTCCTAAGGTGGAAAAGTCAAGATTTCGCCTTTGATAGTCCGTTATTCGAGATGCGACACGCATTCCGTATCAATTCAGAATCATAGTGGTTTTTGAATGCCATGTGGCCTACACAATGACTTGCGAGGGCATCGATGTAGAAGTCAGTGTCCTTATCCTCCCAGACGAATCCGATACCATACCACGGAGGATATCCGGTCAAGTTGGAACCGATCCGCGACTTGACCCCGGTTCGCGTGCGTGATGACGTGCCACCTTTCATTACGTCACGTAGTCCTTCATTCCTACAGCAGCGTTCAGATTTCGCGACGACAGCGCTTCAGTCGCGCGTTAGACGCATCGTTCTCATCGAAACGCGAGACCGAAGCGCTGCCGCGAAGCCTGGACGCTGCTAGGGATGAGCCCCCGTATCCCTACCTCTACACTCATGAGGTGCAGTTACGTATTATGTCGCAGACATACATCATTGTTGGCGTATCAACCAACATCTCATTTGTAACATGTGTTCCGTTCAAAGCCATTGGCTGCCAGAATTCAACCAAATTTGAAAGAATTGCCTACACCGTACAATGGTCGTGTGATAGTGGTTATAATATGCTACACAGTGGCAACCTTGAGCGAAAGATGTCATTCCAGAAGAAAACTCCAAAGTACAGCCTGGTGGTGTGGTGGCGATTTTTATGGAAAATGGAGTCGACTTTGTTGCTGCTTGGCTTGCTTGTGCGAAGGTAGAGCTACAACTGTTGACAACTTTTCTTCTCTACTAGAAATTTTCATGAAAATCGAAGGAGCGATGGGAGGATACTGGAACTGGGGGGGGGGAGATAGGGCGTGGAAAGAGGCCGAGAGGGGGGGGGGGGGCGCCGGAGGGGAGGGGGGGGCGGGGGAGAGGGAGAGGGGGGGGGACAGGGGCAGGCGCCGAGGAAGGTGGGGGGGGTGGGGTGGGAGGCGGCGAGGGGGGGGGGGGGGGGCGGAGGCACGGCGGGAGCGAGGGGGGCGGGGGTGGGGGATATAGGGAGGGGTGAGGAGGGGAGGTTGGGGAGGGGGGGGAGGGAGGAGGAGGGGGAGGGGGGAGGGAGGGGGGGGGCGGGGGGGACGGGGGCGAGTGTGGCGGGGGGTGGGGCGGGGCGAGGGCGGAAGCCGGCGTTGGCGGGGAGAGGGGGCGAGGGAGGGGGGAGGGGGGGGGCGGGGGGGGTGAGGACGGGGAGGAGGAGGTAGGGAGGGGGGCGGGGCGGGGGAGGGGGCGGGGGGGGGGAGGTGGGGGGGCAAGAGGAGCAGGAAGGGAGAGGGGAGGAGGGGGGGAGGAGGGGAGAGGGGGGGGTCAATACTATTCCTTTCTCTGGATAGATTCATCATTTTGGAATGATTGTAAGGGCGACACTCAATTATACCGTATAAAATGAGTTCTTCTGAAACATTTCCATAGATAGGTGTGATCTCTGCTTGGATCAATACGAACCTTCGCAAAGAAGCCCTTGCACAATCGTTGACATCCTCAAGGGCTTCTGTGGTTCTCTGTTCATCTTCACTGCAGCAAGGTGACCATCCCGTCAAAATTATTTCGCATACAACTTCTAAGTTAAACTCTCTCACACTAACTTTCAGCACTGGTAGAGATGATTGAATCGGGCACAACTTCGATGCGGCCGTTGGTAATATTCTCGCGAGGGAAGTCCAAACGAGCCTTACATCAAACCAATTCAAAGACTTCTTCAAGAACAGCCATCTTCGCAACCCACATCTCAACGCCGCATGTCATTTCAAGGTAAGTGGTATGAACCAGAATAACGAGCTGCGAAGTAGACGGGGTATAATGGACAGCTCGAGAACCGTGCGGAATTGGTCGCATCTGATTCGTAAGAAAAAACACAAAATAGAGTAGAATATGCTTGGAGGGAACCTTGAATATGCACGCAAGTGAACTGTGGATTGCACGAGTAACCATGTGCGCCCTGCTGTTCCTCGCCTTAGTGGAAAAAGTCGTTGTAATTTATCCTTTCTTCATATAATTCATTTCTTGCAGACCCACTCTGCTACATATTCACTTCTGGAACTACAGGGATGCCGAAGCCCGCCGTTATAAAGCACTTCAGGTTTGGCTATACAACTTGCGGATCAGGGCACGTTCTGCCGTTGGAGACAATTTTCGCTGAATACGATCCCCCCCCCCTCCCGCTTCGATCACCTTTACGACCATCTTACCATTTCCCGAAAACCCGCCTCCGAGAGCGCTGGTACACTGCTGGTGATAGGACTGGTAAGTGGAGGAGGCGGGGGTGAGTTTAGCGCAGCGCACCAACTTATTCTCCACTAAACCACTTGTTGAAACGTGCAAGCAGTAAAGTGGTTGGTTAGGTTGAAAGGTGGTGAAGAATGGCGGGCCAAACCCAGGCCACCTGCCCGCTTACACGACCCAGCATCCGCAGAGTGCTGTAGATACATCCATAAGACTGTAAGGAGTAGTTGTTGTGATAGGTCGCTTATTACTGCTGGATGAGTGATATACAGTACGCGTGAAACAGGAAAATAACCAGCAGAAAAAAAATTAGGCCAAATACGATCCCCTGCCCTCCAGCGACCATGTGGGACTCCCTAGGGGATTCTCACTCTCACTGACGTGTCGTGATTGCGGTAATGGTCCAGATATCCATTGAAATTTCCACTACAACTTTTTCTAGGTATTTCTACATAGCTACAGGAGGTGAGTGCGCCTTCGGAGTCAGACCAAAAACGGATCGAATTTACGTGTGCCTTCCTTTGTATCACACATCAGCCGGGGTCCTTGGTAAGCAATCAGGCATCATTGGGATTGAAATCACTTTTACTGACCATACTTGTGCATAATCTATCATTGCAGGAATTGGGCAGACCATCATTCATGGCGCCACATGTGTTATACGCGAGAAATTCTCTGCCACTAATTTCTGGAAAGACTGTGTCGCACACAGATGTACGGTACGTTAGAGAGGCTAAGGTCCTTCAGAGTTTGATAATAAAGTTATTACAGGTTTCACAGTATATCGGCGAACTTCTGCGTTATCTCTTGCTCACCGAGAAGTCCCCATATGAAACGAATCACTGCGTGCGACTTCTAATGGGCA